AAGGGCACACTGGTGCGAAAACTTTTTCCAAAGTGATGAACATGCCCGCTCCTCCACGTCACTCCGCCTACAACAAATTGTCATCTCGGCTTTCTGCAGCGGCAGAAGAAGTGGCGTCGAAGTCGATGACTGATGCTGCTGTGGAAGTTCGTGGTGTTGTGGGGAATGCAGAGTGTGGCGTTTCAGGTGATGGCACGTGGCAGAAGCGTGGCCATTCATCTTTGAACGGTTGTGTGCCTGTGATTTCTGTTGATACTGGAAAGGTTATTGATGTTGAGGCCCTTTCTAGTTCGTGTAAGTTTTGTAAAACCAAAAGAAAGTTGAGGCAAGATAGTGCTTCGTACCAGGAATGAAAGGCAAACCACACTTCCTGTCAAGCAAACCATGAGGAAGAGCTGGCAGTATGGAGACGGTTGGTCTATACCGAATATTTGAAAGGTCGAAAGGCAAAAGAGATTTGAAGCACCTGCAGTACTACGGCGATGGTGATTCCAAGAGCTAAGCCGCTGTCAAAGATATGTATGGAAAGGACAGTGTGCAGAAACTGGAATGTATTGGGCATGTCCAGAAGCGTGTTGGCTGCTGCCTCAGAAAACTGAAGACAGTGCGTGGACTCGGTGGTAAGGGAAAGCTCACTGATGCCCTCATTGACCCCCAGCAAAACTATGGCATCGCCATAAGGGCTAATGTGGGGAACCTTTCTGCAATGAAAAAGGCTACCCTTGCCAGTCTTTTTCATTGCAAGCAGCCGAGCAGCAGAGACATGACCTGTGTCCACTTGGACCGAAAAGCTTGTGCGGATGCCAAAGGGTCAAAGCACTCGACCAAGGGAAATATGTAGACAAAGGAGGACTTCCAAATGATGTGCTCAACAAAGTTAAAACTGTCTACAGTGATCTGGGCTCTGATGAACTTCTAATGAAGTGCCTTCATGGAAAGACTCAAAATGAGTGTTTCAATGGTCTAATATGGCAGCGGGCACCCAAAGAGGTCTACGTAAGCTTGCCTACAGTAATGTTTGTCTTGCATGATGCTGTGGTACACTTCAATAATGGCAGTGTAAGCACCCTAGATATCCTGAGGCAAGCTGGCATAGAACCAGGGTACCACACGACGAAAGCTTGCATCGCAAGGAATCACCTGCGCAGGCAGAATGCTAAACGCAAGTCAGCGGATGGGACAAAACAGGCCAGGAAGAAAAGACGAGCAGCCACCCGAACAAAAGGAGCCAATAATGCTTCCGCAGAAGGGCCCAGCTATGAATCTGGTGCATTTTAGGCCTGCATGCGAAGATTGTGACCCTTTTTACAAGCTCGAAAATCTTTGTTTACGTTTTCCTGAAAATAAAATGTTGCTCCAAATGTTGCGACGCAAACTTTCATAACGTATTTCTCAGCGTATACTTTGAACTGAAATTTTGCACAATGATTTACAACATATATATCTGTGCAGTGAACTAGAATAAAAGAAATCCATCGAATATTTTTCAGTTCACAGCTGAATTCTCCAACAGGTTCAGTCTAAATTGGCTTCTTTTCATTTTTTTTTGCTTTTTTAGCATTACTTCCTTGATATTCACTGTATAATATTTATTCTCGTTCACTGCATAACTCCAGCCATTAGTTACACAAATGTCAAAGCTTTACTGAATAAAGCCACCCATTAGTCACTTATCACAGCTGGCGTGGCTAGCACTTTTAATGCAATTCTTGACAAAGATTACCTTCCTATAAATAAATATTCAATATTTCTCACTGTAAATGGCTGGGTAAATTAAATAAGACATGCTGGTTTTGAGGAAAAAGTTACTTCAATGCTGCCTGCCCTTAAAAAAAATCTTGTTTTTGAGTGGCCTACCACCTTAATGCATGAATTAAGAAGCTGCCAAAGAAAAAAAATGTTTTCATTCTCCAGCATTATATAGCAACCTTCAATTTATTCTGTAGCTAAAGTATCTAAACTACAACTTTAATGCATCCTTTTACGTATGTCACGAATTGGTGACTTGCCACAGAAGCGAGGATTTTGCAACAAAAACTTACTTCAGATCTATATAACACGACCTGTGCCACCTCATGGGTGTACACACATACACACACACACACAAAAACATTATATATATGGGTCATTCCATATCAAGTGTGCCTAATCAATCTTCAACAATCTTCGATCATGCTAAAAAAAATTGTGCAGGTATATGTGAATGTGAGAAGTAGTTATTCAGACATATTTCACAAAAAAATATTGTTTTGCCTAAAGGGCGCATCAAACCTAGGGCACCCAAGTGAAACTGTTTCTCACTAAATTTATATAATATTACTGGATCGAGCTATGACCAAGAGAATTTTTTTTCTTAATGTCAAGGTCCTTCTTTCATGACTGATAGTTTAACTTTCACCTTGAAGAAAAAGTGAGTAAGCTGCATGTTGAGCATTTTTTGTAAGAACCACAAATTTTTTGCCAGTAATATATTTACATTTTTCTGTTTTATATGTTACTATATTAAATCATTAAAATACTTAGTGAACAAATCATGCAAAAATGCTGCCAGTATAATGCGACTAAGTTCGGAAAAATGGCATTTTCGCAATGTAGCGGTTGAAGTAAATATATGGCGTAAATATTGTAGCAAAGTACAGTTTGTTAGCAAGACATCTTGTTCAGCTTATCAAAAGGAAATGAAATGATTGTTTAACATGCAGAATGTTTCAAAAGAATAGGATTTGTTTTAAAGAAAAAAATGGCTGCATATCCACGGAGTGAGTGACGGAGAGTGGGGTGAAGCATCCGTACGTCCATTCTTCTTGCTTCTGTCCGTCTATGTGTCCGCCCGTGCGTCTGTTCGTGCATCTGCACGTCCATCTGTGCGTCCGTCTATGGATCCGCCTCTGGATCTGTCTGTGTGTCCATTTGTCCATCTATTCAACACTCGAAGTACCACCATCTCGCATCTTTTCATCATATATTCCCGATATAGGAGCACCGTAATCCAGCGGACATTCCAAGGACTAAACGAGAGGTGGCACACGCACACTTTCTTACGGCTTGCGCTTCGTACCTACTTTAACCACCTTCGTACATACTTTAACCCACCTTTAACCACCTTGAGTACATGGCATATACTACTTCACTGTATTCATGGCACTGCGGCTCAGCACTCGCTAAACCTTTCTAAAACCAAGGAGGTTACGCCCAGTGAGTATAACATAGCAACCCTTTCTTGTCAGATAGTGCTCAATGTACATGCCAATGGCTGCTAATGGGAAATGAGAGACAGGATAATTCGGCTTTTATTCAACGCGCACGCTACGAATTTTTTATTGTTCAGCAACGCACAGGAGAAATCTTCCACCGGCACCACCTTGTAGGTCAAAACGTAACACTGGTTACACACTACGACTACGAGGGACGAACAGGTACCGCTATAAGGAGCTTCACCCGTAAAAGAAATGTCCATCTGAGCAATCACAACGTAGTAGGAACCTTGTCTTTGCCTCACATTCACTGCATAGCACGCCAGCACGAGGTTCCTGTGGGTTTTATAGGCATCGAATAATGCATGTAATATGACTGCTTGTCACTTGTTTTACTAATACAGCTGTATAGAACGTCAAAGACACTATAGTACTAATTTTGTGAACCCTTGCACCATTAAACGGAAGGTTATATTCAACCGCTTCATAGCCCCAAGGGGCAGAGTTGTAATGCAGTCAATGGCCTGCAAGACAGGGTTAGCGCATTGTGTTTGCATTTACCATACTGCCTTGAATATTTAGAGGTTGCAAAAAATTTTTCGACTAATTTTCATTTAAAAAAGGCAGGGAAGTGCATTCAGTCTAAATTTATTTCAAGCAGAGACAAGGCTCAATCTATGCAGTTTTGAGACGTTATGAGAAAATGGGCCACATATACATAGAATAAAATTTGAGACATCACACTTTTGGAGAAAAAGTACAGAAAATTAAGTTTCATCCTCATTTCAGCAAACATTAGTAACTTTGTCTGACACAACTATAAAGACAGTTATAGAACCTTTTCTTTTTAATTCACAATTAAATGACAGAATGTGTCAAGCACATTAATTCAGACAACCTTTTTGTAAATGCTCCTTCCTCACTGTTACGCAGGTCTAGGTGTGCCTGACCGTCTGACCTATGACTTTTGCCATTTCAAACCAACATGTGAACTGGCCTTGTAGTAATATGAATCCAAAAAAAAAAAACCTAGTTAAGCCAATGGTGCAGCTTTCTTCCATGGTTGGTGGGCGCAGAATGCATGCTACCAAAAATATTTGAGAGAATGAGAAAAGGAATTTTTTTCCGTAAACCATACAAGCAGTGCTGAAGCTCTTGAGCAGAATACAGAGGGAATCTTTAGATTAAGAAGCAGCTTATGTCATGAAAGACTTTTTTTTTTTTTTTACAGCTTCATATCTAGAAGGTTTTAGCTTCTACAGATCTCCAAATGTGTTAAAATGCAGCCCTGAAAGAAGCTGACAAAACAAAACTGTCCAAAACAGCAAGCACCCTTGTTCAGCCTGTCAACCCACTGATTAATGACGGTCACTGTTGCAGAGAACATTAGCAGTCTAATATTAGGATGACAGCAACAACAGGATAAACCTAGACGACAAGAGATGCTGAGGAAGCATTTTTTTTCCCTCCAGTTTTCCGCGCAAGCGTGTGTTTGCATCTGGCAGAATAGTGGGGTGCATTATAGATTTGTGAAGGGCGAAACGGTGCATTGAAAAATCGGGAAAGACCTGCCCAGATGCGAAGTATGCGCGGTGCAAAACCAAGCCAGTGTTGACAACGTCACAGCACAATGAAATGACGTGATGCATTTTGGTGGGATGTAAGCTCCTAGGTGCGGGTTGACCTAGTTATCCAAGAACTAGTAACATGCATTAGACATCGGCCGGTCTCGTTGAAGCGCCTTCAACTTACCGTGTGTTCTTAACAGGCCTACAACATTCGCCGACTAAATAAAACATCGCTTACGTGTTCAGTGCTCAACGTTAGGCTGAGAGAATCGTTCGCAGGAATTATAAGGTCTTCGTTGGTTTTACCCCCTGAAAAAAAGCGAACAATATAAAAATGAAGACGGTACGGTGAATACAAACACGTGGGAGAGAAACACGTCAGCAGTGCAAATAACACACGCATAATTAAGAACGCGTATTGGCACAAGTAAAAGGTGCCCTGAATCAGCGTGTACTTACAGTATTTGATTACAGCGATGTTTACCGGCGCTTTCGTAGTTGTCATATACAGTTCTTCATTAATCTTGGTTACGTGCTCCATTCTGTCTAGCACCGGCACCACAGCAGCACACAAGCGAACGATGCGAAGCGAACACTACTAATGCGCTTTTTCCTCATGGCACAAACATCAACCGTCCGCGGCAAATACCCGAACTGCCCGAACGAGGAAATGCCAAATTTTCGTGCGATTTGCACAGTGACGTCACCCTCCGACAAAAATGACGAAAAAAAAACACCAAAAGAATAAACTTTTTAAAGCTATTTAAATAACAATTACAACGAAATAAAACTTATTTTGTTAATTCAAGTTTTAAAAAGATTTTTATAAAAGGGGCGTTTCTGGCATGTCAAAAAGTGATGATGCGGGCCACGGTGATGCGAGCGGAGGCAGCCTGGCGGGAAATTTAGCAAGACCGTTAGAGAGTGCAAACAAGCGCGATAGCTCATTCGAAGTTGAGTTGTCTAGGGGCAAATTTGGAAATTTTGTGGTGTTTCATCTCGAAGTTGTGGGGCGGCAGCTGGTGTACGTAGCAAGGCGCGAGTATCCAGATTAACTCGACTTCATCGTCACTTTGAATCTGAAGTGTGTTCTTAACTTGCTGTAACGGTTTTACGCGATGGAAATGTAATGCTTTCCCACATGTTTTTTTTTTTTTTTCGTTTCTACCTTTACAGCTGTAGTCATGGAAATAGCACCGGCACACTTTCGTCGTTTAGTAGAACAAGAAACCGAGCGTTTGACAAGCATCTGCCATCATTGGGAAGGCGTCATTGCTTCCCAACCTGATATTTCCGAGGAAGGTAAGTAATGCAGTGATGCATTGTTCTAGTTATGAGAGTGGAAGTCGCTGTTTTCGTCCAAAATGTGCCCTTCGTAGAAATCCTGCATTCAGGCAAGTTCTTACGAAAATTTCTTGCCACTCGTATGATGCGCAAGCAAACGTTTCCAAAACTTTGTTTTTTTTTTTCCTTCCAACACGCAATAATTTGTTAGGCGTCCTCGCATTCAGTACATACTCGACATATTCAAAGTCGAGCAGTCGAGCATGAAGTAAAGATCCTAAAGTGTACATAACTATTTTATTGCCAGATACGGTGAGATTAATTCCTACCGTCCTGAAATACCAGGCTTGCTGTAGCTATACCACAACCTTTGTGTGATACGCTTACGGAGTTGACTTCCCTTTTTCAGCGCAAGGTTACATAAGGAGTGCGACGGGAAAAGCGAAGTTGCTCATGAACGAGCGGTTTTCACAGTTCACCAGTTTGATTCACAACTGCGAGAACAACCTCGGAGAGAAAAAAACCACCTGCGATGACCTTCAAGGTTTCTGGGACATGGTCTATTTCCAGGTATTTGGTTTTCTTAGTTTGTGCACGCGACATATGCCAGCTGTGGTCCCCTGACATCAGTATGTCTGCTAATTTATGAATTAAGGTGTTAAGTCTGTGCTGGCTTGTGGTGCTTGCACACCCTGGTAATTGTAGTCCCTGAATTATGTCACAGCGAACGCTACCACATCAACTTTAATGCAAGCAATACAACACAAGGAAGGGCATTGCACAATGTGCTATGCTGAGTTGAGCTTTTTAACTTAACTATAGGCTTGCAACTCAGACCTGTCGTGGTCTTGCGGTTAGAGGAGCATTGGCGCACAAATTTTGCATCTTGTTTTTTTCTGTTGCAATGTGCAGATAATGACCCACTTATTGATGGAAAACTTGTTTGCCAAAGAGCGTTACGGGTAATTATTTGGGTACGGTTTTATGTCTCCCAGTCGCAGTTTCGATTCCGGAGAGTGTGGAGTGAGGCAGAAGCCTGAGTGGTGTCATAGCTGCATACATGAGCACAAAACTCTGCATGCATATGAGCACCGTCTTGACAACTGTTTTCAGCGAGGGCTCTCTGAAAAACATTTTAAACATGCTTGACCCCCCACGAATGCAATGCCAATGCAAGTATATCAGCTTTTGTACACTTGTGCAAGCCTGCCCCCTCTTTCTGTTTGAAAGGTCTGCTAGTAAGCACTCTCAAGGACCGTGGCAGGCAACACAAACTGGTGGTTGGTAACCAAAGGCTCATTTCGTGTGTGGTGCTAAAACACTCTTTAAAATCGCTTTTAAGTATGTTCTAAATGTGCTTGTTCTGGCACGGATGGATGAGCCCAGCTCATTTTAAGTGGGAGCTGTACAAACCGCATGGATGAGCTATGGTTGTCTTTGGTATAGTGAAAAGTTTAAAACATAATTTTAATTATAGGGTTTTAGGTGCCTAAACCACTGTACAGTCATGAGGGGTGCAGTGATTGGGGCCTCCATTTCACTTTAGCTACCTGGATTTCAATCTAAATACATGGATGTTTTTGCATTCTGCCCCTATTAAATGCATCCACCATGACCTGGAAACATGAGTAGCTGTCATCCACAATGGCTTTTCCATGCATTCTTCTTAGGTCTGTCTTTTTGTGACTAGTGATATGATGCCCTCTTGTTTAGATTTTTTTCTTTCTTGTTTGTGCTAAAAAATGCTATCACCATACAATAGAACTGTTAACGAGAACTATGACATGCAAAGCAAAGTGTTGAATCTTTTTGACAGACAAGATTGGCATGCCATACTAGGACAGTTGGCACAAGGACCTTGCTACAGCTTCTTCAGTACTGAATTGTTCAACCAAAATTTAGAAATAATGTGGATCGAATTCCCTACACCACTGTTTTATTTTTAGGTAGAAGATGTTGACAAGAAATTTGATCAGCTTGCCAAGATGCAGAAAAATGCATGGGAACTTGGCCAAAATGCTGATGCTGACAAGGCGAGCATGCCAAGAGTTGGATCCAAAACTAAAAGTGTGAGTTTCAGTAACAGCAGTTAACACTCATTTTTGTGCCTCTCTACGGCAAGTGCCCATTCAGCAAACTCGGAACTGAAATGCAAATTTTTTACTCTGTACGCAGTGCCAACAAAGGGGAACAAAGCACTGGGCATGGAAAGCCTTGTAAATGTGGCTACATTTCATAGCAGTCAAGATGCTGCAGCTTTTAGTTGACATGAAGTCCGCAGGATGACTTATTGGTCGCAGGATTTTCGCACTGAATGCACAATGCGCCAGATAATATGCCTAGCAAGACTAACAGGAGAGTGCATATATATAGCACATTTTGCTGACAATACATAGCTGCAGCTAGAATGTAAGAGCTGGCTATCTGAGCTTGATCGTCATTAGCCAAGATCTTGAAACCATAGCTTCTCCGCAGTGAACAAATCATAAACTTGTGAAATGGCTCCCCAGTTCTTGTGCCTTTGGTGTAAAGAAAGCTAATGTGTGAGCATGTGCCCAATGCGGCACATCTGTTGGTCACTTCAGGAAACTAGTTTGCGTTGGCACAGTATCGCCCCTTTAAGTTGAAAATATGCTAGTGAAATCCCAGCTTCAAATTCACTCACTCACTAATGTTCAACATACCATAACTTTTGTTCAAATGTATATAGAACGCCATTTTTGTTGCTCAGTAATCAGCTTAGATTCCAGATTATTATAGTACGCTGATTTACTTTGTAGCTCTTAGTTTAGAAAAAAAAAAAACTTGCTCCCGAAAAGGCACATGAAATACTTTGTATTTTAAAAACCACACTTTATAGAAGAAAAATAATTGCATATTTGAAATTGGCACACAAATATACATACTCGCCAAGTTTCATCAAACTCGATTAAGAAATAAAAACTTTTTTCCAAGACCAGTGTCTCCCTTTTAGGGGGTACAAGTAATCTGTTTAAATATATGAAAAAGTTTTTTTGTTTATTTGGTGTACATAAGAATATCTTTTGGCTTATATTAAGTGTGTTACAGCGTAAGTGGCACTTTGTCTCATCAAGGAATAACCTGAAAGCTTACCTGCATTGTTCACACAGGAGCTCCATAATTGAGTGCTTAGCAGCTTTCCTCCCTTTGGAAGACCTCATCCTTTGAGGTGCAGATTGTAGACTTGTCATTCTCCTTCACTCATATTTTTCTTTTTAGAATGCACGAAAGATCTGTATTCAGTACAATACAGTGCAAGTAATGATGATTTGTGGGGTTTAACGTCCCAAAACCACCATTTGATTATGAGAGACGCCGTAGTGGAGGGCTCCGGAAATTTTGACCACCTGGGGTTCTTTAACGTGCACCCAAATCTGAGTACACGGGCCTCTAACATTTCCGCCTCCATCGGAAATGCAGCCGCCGCAGCCGGGAATCGAACCCGCGACCTGCGGGTCAGCAGCCGAGTACCTTAGCCACTAGACCACCGCGGCGGGGCGCAGTGCAAGTAAAAAAGTTGATATAATACAGAAGGAGGTCCCAAAGTAAAAACTGTCTGGGGGACCTCCTGTGAATTTGTGTATAAAAATATAGAACAAAGATTGGCAACTAAGTAAAAAACAGCAAGCGAATAAAACAAAATGAACGTAATGAAAATTATTATTGAAACTTGTGGTAGTTCAAGATATTTACATGTAAGTGATAAAACAGGAGATAACTAATTGGATTAAATGACTATAACATAACACATACATATCACTAACTAATACAGTGTCACTTAAGAACCTATACACGTACATATATATATTCAGGTGTCGCTTGTTAGTAAGAACTGTTTTAGGTGCCGCCGGAAACAATGTAATGAGGGGCTTAATTTAATAATTGATGGTAGAGAGTTCCAGAAAGAAATTGCAGAGAACAAGGCTGTCATTTTGCCGTAGTTAGTGCTTACTTTTGGAAGCAGAAGGTTAGTATTTTCAGAAAACCGTGTGTTATTAGTATTGTGGAGATGTGTGAGGGGAAGTATGTCAGTGGGAATGTCACCGACTCTACTTCTGAATAATAAAATTCCAAGTTTGAATTGAACGGTGGAAATTAACGGTAGAATTTCGAGAGTGCTAAAAAGGGGTGCTGCTGATGCTGTGTAGGAACTATGTGCGATAATTCGGACTGCTCTTTTCTGAAGGTGAATGAGAGATGTTAGGTGTGTGGCGTAGGTATTGGCCCAGGATGGAATGCAGTAAGTTAGGTGACTGTTAATGAAAGCATAGTAAAGTGATTTTAAAATGTGTTGCTGAAAACAATGCCTTGTGCGAATCAGTATGCGGATGCCAAAAGCAGTCTTCTTGATGACAGAATTCACGGGAATGTTATATTTGAGTTGAGGGTCTAATGTGACATCTAGAAAAGTAGTGAACTTTGATGGGGTGATGACATAGTTATCAATGTATATTTTGGGTGAAATCTTAACGCTTTTTTGGGACGAGTGAAATAACATAAAAGTTGTTTTAACAGGGTTGATTTTCAATAAGTTATTTTTGCACCATGAAACAAGTTTTGCGACATCAGTGTTTAATTTTGCTAGTAGATTGTTAAGATCTCTGTCACTAGAAAATATCGTGGTATCGTCAGCATAAAGGATGCAGTCAGATGAGTTAAGTGATGATGGTAAGTCGTTAATGTAGATAAGAAAAATGAGAGGTCCCAGAATTGAGCCTTGTGGGACTCCCTGGTTAGTTATTGTTGGTGAGTCTTTGTAATCAAATATTGTTTACATATATTTACTGGCAAAAATATCTTAATGGTCTGCATATACTGTGATCTTGTCATTCTGCATGAAGTAAGGCAGTTTGAAATGTTCATGTACTACTTGGCATTACTAAACTGTTATGAACAATTGACAAAGGTCCTTTCTCTGATCTTGCAGGTCAAGGCTACAAAACCTGTAGCAACAAAATGTGTGCCCACAGAGGCACAGAAAGCAAGGATTGAAGCATCACGCAAACGTCTTGCTGAAGCAAAAGCTCGTGCAGCTACTACAGTTACTGCACGAGGACCTGCTCTAACAGCTGACAAAGAGAATGCAGTCCTCTTTGAAGCACCAAACTTCTTTCTTGTATCAAGCCCTGCTCAGTCAAAGCATAATAGTTAGTGTTGTGAATTTTTCTTAACTTTTTTCCCCCCTTTGACATACTTGTGGCTCATAGTTTCACCGAAACCATCTAGTGGCATGGTCCAAAAATAAAAGCCAGTTTCTATTTATGCTGCCATTGGTTTGCACAACAGTGCCCATGACAATAAACACATGCACGTCTCGCAGTGTCTGATCACAAGTAATAGTGCCATCAGCAGTTTTAAGTACAGTTGTACAGTAGTTTGGTTTTAAGAGATATTAAGAATGGTGGAGGGGAAACAAATTCTGCTGTAATGGTGGAAAAGTTTTTACTTTAAAAAAAGCCTTCCCTAGCCAGCAAATGTACAAAAAAGGTCAGTGGTGGATCCATGCCTTTTAGTAAAGATGTACACTGCATATTAAGGCTAAATTTTCAGTTTCAGGGACTTTTGTCAAAATACCGGCTCATATATGGAAAAATATATTCAAGATAAAGTTGCGGGCATGAAGACAAGTTGCTTTGTAAACAAGAAAAGTTAGCTCCATCAAACGGCCCTTCAATCGACCCCGACGTTTAAACAGTTTGTTCCCTTGTCTAAATCGATATGTTATGCTTCAGAGTCCCTTTAAAACCTTCAAACAGTTTACCGAAATTTTGAAAATGGATTAGCAGTTTTGTCAAGTTTCATAAGCAGGAAACGTTTTTTTTTTTAGAACTGTTATGCCTTTTGTGCAGCATACTTGACAGAAGTGGCTGTGTTGAATACTCGCGAATGTCGACAGAACAAATTCAATATCTAATTGCCACTTTCATTTTTCAGAGCCAAATCTCTTTCAAGGAACACCAAGGAGCCTTCAAAACACTCCAAAACAGAAGGATTTTTCACCACTGGCATGTGTTACACGATCTGCAAAAAAAGCACTGCTTCAGCATAACTGAGGGAGATATGTTATTTGGCTTTAACAAAAAAATGTTTAATGAACTATTGCATGTTTGAAATGTATGGGATGCACCATTTACACAATCGAGGTGTACAAGACTTTTCACGCTACATTAAAGTATTCCATCTTACGTTTCTCTTGATAAATGCTTCAGTCTGCTGATGTCTGTTCTCATTTCTGGCATCCCACACTCTTTTCAACACTGTCAAAATCAATGTAAATTTGTACAAACAAGCATGCTTTCCCATCTTGAAAGTACTGACAAGAGACTTCTGGACCTAGTTTTTTTTATAGTGCAATGGAAAGCTTCCCTTTAGTAGTGTTAACGCTTAAGAGGAGATGAGGGTTGAAAAATGCAAGTTTTTTCTAAAACTACACATTTTTCATTTTTATTTGCTTTCACAACTTTAGTTTCTTTACTTCCACAACAAAAGAACCTGAATATAGTAATTAAACTTGAAGTAGGTGAAAATTGCTTTTACAGAGCAGAAAGTGGTGGCTAAAAACTGAAAGTTTGTTGTCTAAAGTCTTCTGGAAATTATCACCAGGCTGCTTGTCAATGTATTTTGCATGAGCAGTTCACTAATGCCACATGCTCAAAACAATTGCCAAGCTCTCATGATAAAAGAAATCATTTAAAAAAACACATCTTCGCCGCATAGATGAGCTTTCACTTATACTTTATCCATTTTGGGGCGATTTCTTGAGTGTAGACATCATGTTTTTTATTCTGATAGCCAGATGAGGGTGAAATTTCGTATGAACCGAGGATGAAATTTTGTATGAACTGAACGGCACTCGTAGATAATTCGTGCCGAGCCTGCCTGACCGTTTTGCTACAGTAGTAGGCCACTAGCGAGTAGCTTGCCATCGCGGCTGCACAGGAATGAATAAGGTAGCGATGGTTTGCAAACATATTACACCGACATCATTACTTGCCAATAAGCATCATGCGGCTGCTTGTTCAACGGAACGCAAGCATTTAACTTCCCATTGAGTAGCGCTTGTGTCACAGCCGTGATAAGACTAACAGTGAACTATTTGCTGCACTCGGATGTTGCAGGTTCCAACAGCGCGATCGAAACAAGAATATCCAAACGGATACTTGCGTACACTTTTCGCAACGTCAAAATTGTGAAAATTCGTCTAACAACAACGTTGCTTAGACGTCACTGGTAAAGTGCAGGAGAAGTTAGCGTGGACTTTCATTGTAACTGCATATTTCATTACTCTAACAATTTCGCTTGGCTGGTCGAGCGTGTTGGCGGCATGTGGCGCTTTGTTAGTATCCACTGTAATTGGGCTACATGCAATTCACAAGGAAAACTAAGCTTTTAGTTTGAGCCCACTGAAGGATATTGTACAATAAATACAATCAAAGTGACTTACGAGTGTGAAAAAACATTATTGCACTACGGGACGTAAAGTGCAACTGGCTGCTCGTAAGCTAGCAGCTGATCGCTCATCGTCACTGTCACTCTCAGCGCGTTGAATCATCTTGTCGAGTCCTCGTTGTTAAGACGGTTTCTACGAACATCACTGCTGAAAGTAATCTGAGGAATTCTCTCCACCGTACGACTTAGATAGCACCAACAACACATCATTCACCACGCAGAACACCAACACGGTGTCACTCACCACGTTTATCTGGAAGTGTGGAGAGCATTTCACTCCGACATCTGGATTCCTTCCAGTGTGCTGCCATCTATCAAAGAACGTAAAAAAAAAAGCAAGTAAAGGGTGGAGCCCTTTACAGAACATTCACATGTTCAGCAGTTTCCTCCTCTTCTCCACATGCACTAAATAATGTGTCTGTGCCTTCGTATTTGTCTCGGTACATCTTGCTCGGCAATACATTCGTTCTGGCCTCGAACAGCCGAGAACTACCCCGAGAATTATCGTCGATCCTTTTTTTTGCAATTTCCTGCTTGAAAGTTCGGTAGGTCTACAGTGATCATTTCATAAACATTCCAATTTTCCACATGTCCCCTTCTTTTTCTTTCACCGTATTCTTAACCGATGTTTCTTTCTGGCTCGGTATTCTGCTGTTGCCTAAATACTTGCTTGACAATTTTCGAGTTCGCTTTCTCCATTTAGTATCAACATTCTTCGTATCAACATGCTCCTCTCCCATTTTTCTCAATCGCTCCTCAAAGTCTATCTTGCAGCTAGCTTGCCTGCCCTCAAATGATGTTCATCCCATATCACCTTGTACTCCCTGGTTTAGGGAATTCCAGTGTGCTCCCAAAGCAAGTCTACCTATGCCACGTTGTTCAATTTCCAATATTGCTTGAACCTTTGATCTCACGCACAACACCGCATTGCCGAAAGTCAGACCAGGAACCATGACCCCTTTCCATATTCCTCTCACAACATCATGCCTATTTTAGTTCCACAGTGTCCCATTTTTCATTACAGCTGCATTCCTGTTACCCTTAGTCATTACGTATCTTACGTATCCATACGCCCAAATGTTTGTATTTATCCGCTATTTCTATCGTGACTTCTTGTATCTTATGCTCACCACCTTCGTTATCATTAAAAATCATGATTGCCGACTTCTCTCTGCTGAACTTCAAATTTAATTTATCTCCCTCATTACCACAGATGTCTATCAATGCCTATCTTCCTTGTTGTCGGCTATTAATACTAAATAATCTGCATACATCAGTGCTGCTAATATCTGTTCTATGTGTTTTCCTTGCTTGGCAAAAGAGAGGCTGAAGCCGAGCCGACTCCCCTCTAATTCGACTTTTAGTCCCTGTAGATACAGCATAAATGCATAAGGTCACAAGGGACATCCCTGTTGAAGCCCGTGTTGTATCTCTATAGGTTCGGAGTTCATCCCATTTTATAACTACATTGTTACTCTTATAGAGAGAGATAGAGATATATAAAGAGATAAAGGTGGAGTCACTAATCTTTTGAAGGATATCTACTTTTAAAGATATCCTTTAAAAGATTAGTGACTCCATCTTCCACACTTAGTGTGTCCAGTATTCCTCGCAAGTCCTTTTGAACCATGCTATTGTACGCTCCCTTGATATCCAAAAATGCTAGCCATAGGGACCTGTGTTCATTTTCTGCTATTTCGATGCACTGCATCAGTGAGAACGGATTTTGTTTCAACCTCCTTTGTTTCCGAAATCCATTCTGCAGTTCCCCCAGCACCCCCTCATTCTCTATTCATGCCCGCAGTCTTTCCTTCATAATCTACATCACCAGCCTGTAAACCACAGATGTCACTATTATGGGACGGTAGTAGTTCATGTCAGCTTTGTCCCCTTTTCCTTTATCGATCATGCTCATCCTGCTAAGTTTCCATCCATTGGGGACTTCACCATCGATTATTGTTCTGCTCACTGCCTCTCTCAAAGTCTGTTTAGACTTCGGACCCAATGTCTTTATCAGCATCATTGGAATGCCATCTGGGCCTGTTGATGTACTACTTGGAACCCTCTTCTCAGCCCTTTCCCACTCTCGTTGTGAAAATGAAGCCATTGTGCCACTTGATCCGTCCCTGTCTATCGTGGTGCATAAGGCACTTCTTTGTTGAAATTTTTCTGTCACCCTTGTTCTTATATATTCAATAGCTTCGTCCTCTTCTAGCCTAGCACCTTGAGCTGTGGTTATCAACCTCTGCTCTAGGTTTGTTTCATTTCTCAGGCAGTTTAGATGGTTCCATAATTTTGCAGCTGCCTTTCTGTCCTTTTTATGTACTTCTACCAGCCACTGAGCACCCTTTCTTCTAAACTTTTCATTGATCAGGAGGGATGCTTCCCTTCTAGAGCTTAGAAAGATTTCTCATTTTCTTTCAACATAATCTGTCGGTTCACCCTGTTGCTTAGCATGTATGTGCTCTAGGCTTGTCTCATTACTCAGGGAGTTTAGATGGTTCTAAAATTTTGCACCTACCTTTCTATTCTTTTTATGTACTTCTGCCAGCCACTGAGCCCACTTTCGTCTAATCTTGTCATTGATCAGATGGGATGCTTTCCTTCTACAGCTTAGTCACAGGATCAAATCCTGGCTGCATCAAAAATTCAGCCGCTGCAGCCAGGTATCGATTCCGCGACCTGTGGGTCAGCAGCCAAGTACCTTAGCCGCTAGACCACCGTAACGGGGGTGGGTGGTGCATACCTGCACACTATGGTCTGAACATGTGACGAAGGCATATGATTGCATTGTTAATAATTAATCAGTATCAATCTACGTACAGCCAAAATGGAATTGAAAGTATGATGTGAACACACTAGTGCAAATTAAAGCAGAGGGAAATGTGCTCTTTGTTTAGTAGATGATTATTTAAGAGGAAAGAATAGGCAAAAATATTGAAAAAAATTCATTTTTTTGCATTATTTGAAATCTGCAGTCTTTTCTGAACCCGAATCAACCATTTGTTTGTTTTAGTATGATTTTTTCCCTGTAAAAATGGCATATTTCAGAACTTGTGTGGTGGCCTACCATGCCCCAATTCTTACATAGCAAGGCATTCCTTGCAGATCAAGCATCATAACTATATGCAGAAGTTACAGTTTTCAGGCTGGAGTGTATTGGCACATTAAGAAAAGAATGTTCCCAGAACTTCAAAAATAAAAGAAAGCCTAGGCATCAAGCTTTCTATTGGAAAATCTATATCTGGTCAGTGACGTCTAGGTGGTTTCATCATTGGCAAGTACCAAAATTATAGAACGAGCTTTGAAGACATGCTAAAAGCTGTCCGGTCCACATATTTTCACATGGCATCAAAGGCTACCAAGGATGCCGTAACTTGGGTGTAAGTTCTACAAAGCCCAGTTGAACTTTCCAGCATCTGTTGTTGAGGTTGTTAAGGAAAAGTATCTGGAACTAGCTCATCCAGAATCACTTTCTAAAGGCCTCCATAGGGAAACTCGAAACCATAATGCATCGTTCGATTGTTGTGTAAAAGTGCGCTAAAAAAAAAAATTTCTCGGGCTCCAAGCACTCTAAATATGCACTCCTAATGCTGTTTTCACTTTTATTATGTTAATATAGCCTGTGTGAATGTGCTGAACAATTTTAAAATTTCGCCAAGGCATTGCCTACGCAACCTTGAACTTCATTGACAGTACAGTGCTGACACGGCTGCTTAGCAGGCAAGACGTTTCGACACAAAAAGAACAAAAAATAATTCTGGTGAT